GCATCTTATTATACATTTTTCTCTTAATTAACAATTGAACCATCTTTATTTTAAATTTATTTTTAAACAGTCTCTCTTCCAAAAGAATCCTTAACTGTTTTAATTACTATTTTTTAACCTGTTTTAGCATCAATTCTTTCTTCTTCAGTAATTATATTACCTTTAGCATCTTTATAAACTTTTTTTTTGACAATCGTGATATTTCCATTAGCATCAACAATTTCTTCTTCTATAGTTTCAGTTCCATCTTAATTCTTCACTTTTCTTTATATTGTTACAGATCCATCAGCATTTTATATTTCAACTTCTTCAATACCATCCTTAATTCTTGTTTTCTTGATTATTTTATTACCTTAAGCATCAAAAGCAACTTCTTCAACTACAGTAATACCATTTTCTTGATAAATCTTTTACTCTTTAGTTGCAATTTTACCATTCTTATCAATAATTTATTATTCAATAATGTCTTAACCATATTCATTTTTTCTCTTTGTAGTAATTACCTTATTACCTTTAGCATCTATTCTTTCTTCAACAATTACTTCATTGCCATCACTATCTATATAAACTTTTCTTTTAACTTTAGTTTTATTTCCTTTTTCATCTATAATTTCTTCTTCAATGATTTCATTACCATCTGCATCTTTATATGCTTTTTATCTCTTTGTAATTTTATTACCTTTTTCATCAACAGTTACTTCTTCAATAATATCATTTCCATCTTTATCCTTTACAGTTCTCTTAGCCACTTTTAATTTCTTACCATCAGGCATAATATACTCTTCTTCTACATATTCAACGCCATTCTTATCTTTTTTAATTTTAACTTATTTAATTCTTTTTTATTTTTATCCATTTTCATCAATATATTCTTCTTCAACTTCATATCTCTCTTCATCAGCTTCATTCCCTTATAATTTTCTAACCTTCTTTCCTGTTTTATCTTCAAACCATTCTCCTTATTTAATTTCTTTTCCATCTTTAGCTACTGGTTTAGATGGCAAATTTATTTTAGATCCACCTATAGCAAATCC